ATCTTACCTGTCATTGGCTAACTGACCAAGCTTTGGGGTTCAGTTATGAATGAAGCAGCAGAAGCAGTGCTCCTGCCAGGGAGATAAGCTTTTGTCTCCTTGCTGGCTTATGGTCCAAGGCCACTCCCTCAGCCTTAGCTTAGGCGGGAGTTACAGCTTCTGATACCAGGCAGGGCATTTCCCAACAGAGCCACGTGATGAAAGAAAGGTCTTGCTCCTCCTACAGTTTCAATCAGAGGAAAAATGATCCTTGACATCTGATTACTATTCATGAGATGAGCGCTGTCCAATAAAACTATGATAAGAGCTACATATGTAATTCTAATTTTTCTGCTAGTTGCATTAAAAAAGTAAACAGATAAAATTAGATTTAATAATATATTTTATTAAACTCAATATATCAAACTATTATTATTTCAAAATGTAATTAATAAACTCAAGGGTTTTGAGGGAATTACTGAGTCTTTGAAGTCCAGTGCATATCTTACACTTACAGAACACATCACATCAAAGTAGTCACATTTCAAGTACTCAATAGCCACAAGAAGCCAGCTTTAGACATGGCAGTGTTAGACTCCTCTGTCTCTTGAGTCAAGGTGATCAGAACCCTAATGCTGATTTGTCTGGGGTGAGTATAACTCTGTAGTTTTGAGTTATTTATCTAGAAAGGGATGGCTTATTACTTAGTCATCTCACTCTGGTAGAGTATAATTATAAGACCATTCTAAGGAAATGACTGATATGGTGGTGACTTGCTTACTTGGAACTGATTCTCTGACCTGCTTTTACAGATAGAGCCTGTATTGAATGCAGCCCAGCACACTGACATTGGTCAGTGGAAGGGAAAAGAGACAAAGTTTGAGTTATGTGAAAAGACCACATTAATAGTTTTAAAAGTATATGAAAATCAATGAAGGGGAGCAGCCATTTTGGAAGGTAGGGTAAACAGATAAGATAAATACTGTAAAAAGACTTTAAGCTTTTAGCAGTGGCAGATGAGCTAAGAAACTGTTTTGATATTCCCTATTATTCATGCACACAGAATGGTTATTATTTTTCTTCTTTGTGAGACCCAAGCTGTCCCATAATACAGGCACATGGAAGGTACTTATGGTAGGATCTCAATAAAGGTTCCCAAACTTGTGAGTATTTTTTATGGAAAGGTTAATCAAAAGAAGGAGAAGGAGAAGGAAAAGGAAAGATCAAGATTTCCTAATGCAAAGATTTATGGGATTAAGAGATGAGATGAGTGAGGATGAATGTGTCATGTATTTCTTTAGAGAGAATGTGAGTTAAGGGAAGGAAAAGTGCAGTAAAATGAGAACAGATCAGAGCTTGATAGTATATAGCAAATTATTGTAGTCTGCCTCCTCACCATATGCTCATTCCTTGGTAAGTTGATGTTCCAAGGTGAAATGGGAAATTAAGATGAGTGACATTGGAGTTTCTGGAAAGAGTAATAATAAATGAACAAATGAAATAAAAATAGACTGATAGATACAGAGAACAGACTGATGTTGCCAGAGGTGAGGGGGATTAGAGGGTGAAAAAGGTAAAGGGATTAAGAAGTACAAATGGATAGCTAAAAAATAGTCAAGAGAATGTAATATACAGCATAGGGAATATAGTCAATAATATTGTAATAACTATGTATGGTGCCAGGTAGGTACTGGAAATATTGGAGGGATTGCTTTGTAACATGTCTAATTGCCTAATCACTATGCTGTACTCCTGAAATTAATATAAAAAATATTGACTGTGTTATAATTGAAAAATAAAATCTAAAAAAGAATGAAGGAAATCTGTATGATAAAAAAAATCCCAAACAACCACATCCAACAGTCATTTTCAAAGTTCAGTTATTACACACACTTACAACATTTGCCTTACTAATTTGAAATGTTATTCTGCAAATGTATCAGATCTTCAGAGTCTCAAATCCCAAGTCCTGCTTTCCTTGCTTATGTAAGAGTTACTCACCCAAACTCCGTTTTGCTGGTGGGTTATGAACTCCTTGATTATTTGCTGTTGATACTTTTTTTTGGTTATGAGAATCAGGAGTTATGATGTAGCGTGGTGATGGTAATGAATATGCACAAACAGGTGGTTAAGGTAGGGGGAAATTTAAATTTTGAGGGACAGTAGGATGTAAATTTCTTTTCAGTGAAATAAAAAAAGTCTCCTACATAAATTTTTTCTGTTATGTACATAAAATATGAAAGATGTTATACCACATCTTGAATCATGCATTTGTATTGCTTATATGAAGCAACAGATGTCAGTTAATACACTCCAAAGAGTATTTTCTTAATAGTATTTTATTTTAAAATATATTGGATTAAAGTTGAATTAATTTCCATGTAGTAAGTGTGTGTATGTATAAACAAATACATACATACATAAACAAATACATATATACTTTGTAAGTATAAACAAATTATACTTTTTAAGTAAAAATTGGAATATGTTATAAGGATGAAGGTGTTTTATTGGTTGCCATAAAGGTGGCTTTAAGTACTCAAGAATATAGAAATATTTGTAATTGCCCAAGAATGTACTTAGTCTTCAGAGCTTCTGTAGTGTTAATGTTGGAAGAAGAACATGCACAAGAGGACAGAGGGAAATCATATTTGAAGACCTAGGTTAAAATGTTCCTGCAAATTAAGACCTTAGATTTTTGACATAATTTTTTTTTTGGTTGTGTCACAGAATATGGCACCAGGAATTCAGATCATGATTGATCTGGCTTCATCGGCTGGCCATGTGTTGACTGGCAAGGCACTTAACAATTCTTTTGGTTTTTATACTGTGCTTGAGACAAAGATGTTTCTATGTGATGAGGATTCATTAGACCAGTACAGTCCAACAGAGATATTATGTGAACCACATATATAATTTAAAATTTTCTAATATCCATAATCAAAAGTAAGCAGAAATGGATGAAATTAATTTTAGTAATACACTTTAACTCAGTATGTCCAAAATATTATAATTCAACATGTAAGCAATATAAAAATTATTAGTAATATATTTTATATTCTTATTTTGTATTAAGTTTATGAATTCCAGCATGTATTTTATATGTACAGCACATGTCAGTTTGAACTGCCACATTTCTAGTGCTCACTATCCAGGTGTGGCTAACTGAATACCGGACCACGAGGCTACCAATACCATAGCAGACAATGCACCATTACACTAAGAGGAAAGCATTGAATTTGTTAGAATATTAAAGTTATTCAACATCAACATTCTCAGGATAATAATCTTGCTTTCTTGGGTGGTGAGAGCTTTCCAACTTGCAGGGGTGTTACTGTTTTCAAGAGACAAAATAAATATATGGGGAATAAATACCTGACATTAGTGTTTATTAACGCCTTGTGGTTTGGCATTGTGGTCACATTCACTTCCCTTTAAAACGCTGGTCATGGGTCCAAGAAATAGGGGAAGGGTATCAAAGTTTCATTTACTTTCGAGGAAGCAGGCCAATAGAGGACACTGTATCCTGCTTGTTCAGCTCCAAATCTCACGATGCAAGAGTAGATTACAATCTAGGGTGCAGTTATTAAATAATGAGCAAGCCAAATCAGCCAAAATATGTGTCCTAGCAATTTGTTGCTTTTTTAAAAAAATAAAAAAGCATCTGTTTTGTGGGTGTCTGGAAGGGCTCAAGCTTGTCCCACATCTCCGTTGTTCTTTGTTATTGTTTACTTGGATCCAGAATAAAATGAGAACAAAGTCTTTTTATGCTTAGAAACATTTTGATGTATTCAAGGTGGTGGCATTTGGTTGAGGTGAGATGCTCAGGACTGCCACCATCATGCATCAAAGTGCAACAAACTTCCCCCCTCCCCCAGATACTGCAGTTCTTGGATGGTAAGTCAATTGTATATATCATTCATAGTTGCATTATTTATAGCTGAGCCAGGTGAAGATTCAAGTAATCTCCTTAGATTACTTAGATTGTTCCTAGAGCAATTAATTTATATGACAATCACTTTTCAAGGTGCCCCATAACAGTAGAAATGACACTAGTATTGAATACTTGTTTTTTTGTGTTGTTTAGGCTAAACTAATACAATTCATGTCAATGTACATATAGGCTACACACATGAATTTAATTAAGGCTAATTTTTGTTAATTGGTAACGTTGCATTTGCATTTTCAATCACAATCCACATGGGAAACACAACCATTAAATAATAAGCTCCAGGGATTTATACAATACTCAAACAAGTTTCTAATATACGTTAAATCCTTTTTTTACCTCCCCTTAATCCTTGTGTATGATCTCTCTGAACCCCCAATTTTTCAGTTGCTAAAATTGTAGTTGCCAGAGAAATTTTCCATAGGATAGGCCCTCAATCTCATCACCTGGCCCAGGTGGACTTGCATGAGTTGCTATTTTATGCAGGGGAGCGTCGCAGGAAGACATCAGAGATTAAGTTGGTGAAACCAAAGCCAATTGGTAACCCCTGCAGTCGAACAATTGGTTATTTCCGGGACTGAACAGAGAGGGCGCCCTTCCACAGACCCGGGCACAGCCAGGACTTGGTGGTGGGAAGAGCTAAGCAGGAATGCCCAGGTATGTGTCCTGGCTGTCTACTTAGAAACCTTTAGGGCGCTGGACTACAAACGAATGTCAAGAGACCTGGTTGGCTGGATTTTCTGTAGGGGACTACAGAGCTCACCACCAGGAAGCAGTTGCTGTGGGGCTTAAGTTTTCCAAAAGTCTACATAGGGCTTTCCCTCCCGTCCTGACCCCCACCTCCAGTCTCGGGAGCTCCGCGCCACCCCCCTTTACCCATCCCCCGCCCCAAGTTCTGAGCGATCTCACTTCCTTGCCTTCGTGCCGCCTTTGCCCGCCTGCCCGAGAGCGCCAGGCCACAGGCGGTTACCAGCGGGCACAGGGGGCGGAGGCGTGGCAGGGGCGGGCTCTGTCACCCTCTCCCGCCCCCCACCTCCTCCCCACCACCGCTCCCCTCCAGCTGGCTGCTGGGGTCAGTGGCTGGAGCACTGCGCACCGCCAGCCACGAGGGGTGTGGGATGGGGGAGGCAGAGGAGGAGGGCACCCTCAAGGATCCGAGCTAACCGCGCACTTCAAACGACTGCGGGGCTGCGTTTTCCTCCTGTGCCCCGGGAACTTCAAAGCAGCGGGCCGCCTAGCTCCGCTCTAGGGCCTCGCTGCCCCGCTGTGGTGCCCGGTGGCCATGACCCCAGTGCTCAGCGCTGCCCTCCACCAGACTCTCCTGCTACTCGCTGTGGCCGCTGCGCTGTCCGCAGGTATGACGGGCGCTACCTTCTACGCCTTCACGCGCGGGTGGGAATCTGGGCTGGTCTGCAGGTAGGCACCAGCGTGGAACAAGGTGCTCCGAGCAAACTGACCTTCAGCGGGGCGAAGCGGGAAGTGACTGCTGGCGTGAAGGGGCGCTGGACAGGGCGCACCTGACGTCTGGTAGTTGTAATGGCAGACAGATGTTTGGGGATGAACCCACCAGGAGGAGGGGAAAAGCAATAGGGACGTGGAGATTTGGGGAGTAGGTGTGAGGTAGGTGACAAATTTGGGGGCAGTTTGCAGCGGAGGCAGGGAGTATGTTTCTGGGTGTGCGCAGGGTTGGGAGTTGGGTGGCACCATCAGTTCGCTCTGCAAGTGCTTCGGGGGCGCTTTGTGCTGAGCTCCCGAGAGCTGAGCAAGGTGGTAGGAAGGTGGGGAAGGTGGGGAGACTAGTGGAGATTCAGTCAGAGTTTGAGGATGCCAGGGATACCTCAAAAGCCGCTGGTGCCAAGCTATGTAGGCGGGAGTGGGAGCTTCAATTTGCGTGGTTTGCAACACACATTGCTTTCGAGGTATGATCTTTACTAAGAGTTGCAGGGAAGAAAATTCTGGCAAGCATCCCAGCGTTTATAACAGGTCTGTTCCTTGATAGGCTAAACAGAACCCTGGGCCCAAGCTAGAAACCAAACGTTTCTTTATAATGTTTACTAGAAACTGGGGCAAATGCGTCTTTGGTAAAATCACAGTGTGCTGAGATGAAAATCCATTTAACTGTGAAACTATTTTGATTATAACATTTTCCTGGGTTATGGAGACCAGAAGTAGGATTTCTTGATAACTCATTCTTGAAACATTTCAACCAGACATTTAAGACATTTGCACATAAAAACCTGGTGTTTTTCCGTAGAACTGTACTTTGCCCAAAGCCAATTTTGATGCATTTTTGTTTTCCCAGATGACAATCTGTTTGACATTAATAGCGGATCTGTTTGACTAGATCCTCCAGGGTGGGTAGGTTTCCTCTTAGCGACATGTGCAGGAGGATGTTTTGAATAGTATGATTGCTGTCATGTACAGATTTCAGTGTTTCAGATAGTCTAAGAGAATCATGAAATACATTTAAGTGAAATTTTGATTACTGGAAGGGATTAATTAGGAAAGCAGTTGCCCAGAGGTTGTCAGGAAAATGACGAGATAAAGTGAAATATTTGCATTCAGAGTTAGTAAATTCATCAATGGGAAGAAAACTGATGATGGGAGTCTTCATAAGAAATGGGTGGAAATTCTACTAACTTGGAAGAAACACTCAAAGTACTCTTGACTGATAGAGTTTACAAAGAAAAAAAAGTCTTCCAGATATTTGAGTAGACACCGGTGAAATTGCTTCCACAGGCTGTCCATACAGTCCCATATTTAGCTACAGAGATTTCATAAAAGATTCAATTATCTTTTTATATAGTTTGAAAGGTATGTTTTGTTTATGACGCATCTTTTTTTTTTAAAGATTTTATTTATTTATTTTTAGAGAGGGAAGGGAAGGAGAAAGAGAGAGAGAGAAACATCAATGTAACGTTGCTGGGGGCCGTGGCCTGCACCCCAGGCATGTGCTCTGACTGGGAATCAAACCTGCAATGCTTTGGTTCACAGCCTGCTTCAATCTTCTGAGCTATGCCAGTGAGGGCATTATATGACAAATCTTTTATAAAATTTTAGAGACCCTGGATAAAGCAAGGTAGCAAAACAAGCCCTGCTATGTTATTTGAAAGGAATGCAAACTTTTGACATTGAAATGTGCAAAAACAAATAGAATATCCATTCAAATTTGATTGTTTCCTCAAAACCTGAAGGAAAGAAAAATGCCTGATATGGAGGTAATTGTCAATATCCTAGAGAAGTACTTACCAAAATTGAACTTTTACAATGAACTTTTGAATGTCACATAAATCACTTTCAAATCTCTTTTAAACACTTTACCCTTCTTTGTACTCCACAAGAAAAATAAGTCTATTGCTATTTATATTTTTAATTCCTAATTTTTGTACAAATGTTTGATGATTTGTTGGCAGCATTTGAGGTTGTTCATTTATGCAGATAAGTTGTTTCTCATGTGGTTATCTACATTATTTTTGCCCTGGTCACTTTCACAAATTATATTATTAATCATATTGGCCATTTTTAAAAATGTACCTGCCATTGTTGACACGTTATCTGAGAAGTTGCTATTGACACAAGGACAGCAAAGCTGCATGGTGGAAAAAAACACTTTCCACTTTGGCTCCACTGAGCACCAGGCCTAGGACCTTAAATATCTAAAGACATTGACAAACCAACAGTGCTTTTTGCCTTGCTTGTTCTTTCCAGCAGCTCTGTCACCTTAGACGCCGTGCATTAACAGCATAATAGAAACTATTGCTTCTTGTTATGCATCTCAGAGGCTAATACTGATGGGAACTTAGAGAAAATATTTATTGGTCTGGACTGGCTAAAAAAACTAGGTTCCTTTGAGTTACTCTAATTATCTAGTTACTAGGTTTTTTGATGTTTGACAAGGAAGACCTGATGTGACCTCCCAACAGTTAGCATGTGCACTAAACATAAAATTGGAAGAAGATGCCTCACATTATAAGTTTGAGATATTATAATAATTTCGATATTATTTAGATTTGTACATTCCCCACTGCTTTTATGAAACTCCCTGGTCTTCTGGTTGGGAAAGGATTACTAAGAGTCTGGAAAGCTAGATACTCTGAAGTGAAAACTGTTTCATTTAATAACCAGGGTAGGGGTTGGGGTTTCAGAGAGTGACTTGCACCCCTCCAACAACACTTCCCACTATACATTTTAAGCTTTGTTGGAAGTGAAAGCAAAAGCCTCGGATTGACTGAGTTTATAAATGCAAAAGGTGTTGTCACCTTTGCCCTTCTTTAAGCACAATCATTGGTTGGTTGATGGACACAAATGTGGCAAGAGGCTCCCTGTTTCCAAGGAACAAACTTTTCTAGTTCAGGACAAACTCTGTGCAGAAGTCCTTGGGGGAACGTTTCTTCATTGGCTATAATGCTTCCGCCCATTTTGTAGCCTCAAATGTGCAAAGTATAAAAGAGAAAGAGTCCTCTGATTCACTGCAATCAGAAAAATAAAGGATTGGAGGAGTGAGACAAAGAGAGGAGCAAAGGATGACACCAAATTTTTGACCCAAGCAATGGAAGAATAGACCCCTTAAGTGGGGTGAGGACAGCTGCAGGAGGTACAGGTCTGGAGAGAAGGGGCAGCGGCAGATGGCTGAAGCTCTGTTTTGGTTATGTTGAATTTAAGATGCCTGTTAGACACTGATGCAGAGATATCAAGTAAGCAATGGGGTTTATGTGCCTGGAGTTTAGGGTATAGGACTGGCCTAAAGGTAAAAAACACCTAGAGTCAAGGGCACTTGTAGATAATTTTAAAAGATATATTAACTAAGGCCACAGACTTAGCAAACAGAGAACACCCACTTAAATTGAGCTTCAAAAAAACAAATAATTTTTTAGTGTAAATATGTTTCAAATATGACATGGGACATACATATATTAAAAATTAATTGATATTTAATTCTACTTTAACTGGATGTCCTGTACTTTTATCTGGCAATCCACAATTAAAGAAATATTGTGGTGAGATGATGAGCTTCTTATACATGTATTCCCAACTCTTGCATTAGAAAGAGAAGTATAGGCCTATTTTCTAGTCCCTGTCTCTTAAAACTTCTGTTCCAGATCTACTGCTGTCCCATATGCATCTCTGAATGGGCCACCACTAGCTCTGTGCACTGTCTCCCCTGCTTCTGTGGAAACAGGGAGGGATACCGAACCTGTGCTATACTTACATGAGTATCTTAGCAGAAAAGGATGTGTGAACAAGACAACAATACCTCTCTAGACTCTCTGCAAATAATTGTTATGTGAAAGCAGTTGGTTTTCCCCCAAATTTATTGTCTTTTGGATGTGATCATTATTTTCAAGTGTATTTTTACAGTATTTTCCTTTTGTATAAACATTTGTATGTTTCTCTTTTAGAGGAAATGCTTCAGGCAGTAGCTGAGATCCAGTTTGTTGACTTTTTCTAAGCAGTGCTTGCATTGCTTATTATAAATAAGAGAAGGCTAAGAGGAGAGGTGAATGGATAGAGTAAAGCCTGGGAAGTTCTTAAGCCCCACAGGACCTGATAATCTGACACAGTTTGAAGTTTTAGAGCATGTTCTTAGAGATCTACCACAAGTCCTTTGGGAGAGAAGTGGGAACACATAAATATCAGCTTCTTTAAATTCCCTTTTTATTGATTGATTGAGAAAGATACACACACATTGATGTGTTGTTCCATTTATTTTTGCGTTGGTGTATCTGGACATCACTTTAACCAACCAGGTTAAAGGTAGCTACCAGGTAGCTAGCTGAGCTGCCCAGCCAGGGCTTAGCTAGAGGCTGTTTAGTGCCTGTTCTAGCTAAGCCTTGAGCTGGTACCAAATGACTAGTATTGGCTTTATTTTAATTAATTAATTTATTTAATTTTATTTTATTTTAATTGTTGTTCAGGTACAGTTTTCTGTCTTTTACTCCCATTAGTATTGGCTTTATTTTTAGATTTGTAGGGGAAAGTGTCCTATAAATGAATAACCGTAAGCATGGGTCATCAAAAATTACAAGGAGATATATTCAATTATATACAAAGAGTTTATTTTAGTAAATAATAAAATGAGAGCTAATTTTCAAATGTAAATAGGAAAAAAAACTAAATAGACAAAAGGAAAAATTCTAAGCACAAAGAGTGGACTATGTGTAATTCCTTATCATTTATAACTGTGAGGCTTCTTCTGGATTTTCCATTGCTTTGGACTTCTGTATATTGAATTTTCCCTAGCTGAGAATCAAAATCTCACAGTTATTCTTACATTGCTGAAGAAACTGAGATAATATTAGCATGTGTTCATAAGTGATATAGAAATGCTACCTTTGCTAAGACACCTTGGAATACC